TGTGTCAGTGATATTTTTTTTAGAGGTTGTTAAGTGTGATGAATTACTGACAGATTTATTTACATATTTATCTATTATAGATTATATTTTATACTTTACATTGTATAAAAATAAAACGATAATGAAGACTCTAGTTTTGAATTTGGTTTACGCATAGTCCCGGTAACTTCTTCTGCTGTTTTGAGATAAATTATAGCCTATGTCCAACCTCGAGTTACAAATGTTAGAAAAATTAAATTATTTAAATATTAAAATTAAAAATTCAAATCAATCAATTCATATAAATTTCTAAAAATCCGTTCAGCGTTTCACATTTATAATACTAACAGTTACCCACGACTTCGTCTACATAAACATTTCACTTTTTCTATGTTTATTTTTGACATAAAATACAGACTATCTCCAATATTAATATGAAATTTCATTAAGATCCTTTCAACAATATAATCGTGACAAGATAACAAACAGACACATAAATATACCTAATGTATGATAGAATGTATGACTTAGGATTACGCAGCCAAGGATTATTTTTTATGGATGATAATGGAATAGTGCACCCGCCTGTGCTAACGGTATACGCTGGCGGGGCACCAGTAGAGGATGATAAGATGAGATCAGGTCAGTCAGCCTATCTTGGCATGTTTCCCAAGAATTTAACTCAAAGGTTTCCAGGGGGAACCGCGTGGCGGACAACCTGACATGGTACATTGCTAGCAATAAGATCATTAGTCCACATTACTAACAATCCTCTTTCCCCTCTGTGTAATATATTATCAAGAATTATCCTGTGATATTTAACTTGAGTTTTACAACTTTTTGTGTAACTATTGTTCCACAAACAGTTTACAAATCAAAGAAAGTCTGCAGTCGCATGTTAAGCGTGTAGTAGGTACTTTAACAACATTGCATTCTAATATGCTTTGTAGCACATGGGCAGAGTCACGTTCACCATACTACACTTTATACCACAATGGTAACAGTTCCGTAATATAAACACAGGCAAAAAATCGGAAAAGAATTTTCAAAATTAGGACCCAGAGACTACCCCCCTGCAACATCACAAACTTTATAATCTTATATATATCTCATTATAATCTTATATATAAAATTCACGTGTCACAACGTTAGTTACTACTCCACCGAAAAAGCTTGACCGATTTTTATGAAATTTTATATGCGTTTTGGTCTGAGATTTTTGACCAATTTTATTGTATTTTTATATAATTTGGCATTAATAATACATACAATCCTAAATTTTCACTCTTCTAGCATTAACCCCTATTCTTTATTAGCGATTTTAATTTATATAGCAAATCAACGTTTGCCGGGACAGCTAGTATTAGTATAGATTACTATAGATAATAATTTTACGACAATTGACAGAAGATCATCTCCTAATACTAAACTAAGGAGAGATAGTGTTATGAGTACTAACCAACTAATAGAAATATTTAAATACATACAATAATATACACAGCAGAAACCGGTTCCAACACAAACAATCATACTCTAGAACACAAAGAATATTATAGTGCGAGACTCGAGCCTGCTACCATCGTAAGTAAGGCCTTGTCTGCTATACCGTTAGACTACCCAGACAGTGTAAATCTGAAAGAAAAGTAGTTTCATGAATATATAATTTTAATTTCTTTGTAAATATGCAGTGTTATCATTGACAGACAAACAGATATAGACAGCAAACAGTGGTGACTGGTGTTCAGGTGATTCAATTTTTATTAATGTTTCGCAATATATTTCCACTGCTTAAGTGAATGTTGCTTCTTATAATTCAGAAATAGAAAGAATCTCTTTTTCTGATAAGTACTTTTAAATAGTCACTTTTTAAATTTAAATTCCCACCACCACTTATACGGAACCCAGACCCATCACAAGAAAATTTATAAGAAACTTGGGTGTTGATGAAACTTTTAAATAAATGTTGTCCAGTCTGACCTTTTTAAGTATTGTGTGAATATAAAATGTCAAATAACATAATTGACAAAGTAAATGAAACATGAGTTTTTTTGGACTACTCTAATGACGTTGGCCGCTGGCATTTACAGGTTCACCGGACGATATGGGGCGAATGCAGATGGCACTCCAAACCCGCGGAAGGACTTATGGAGCGGCTGGAAGACAACTCCAGCCGGATACGAATACGACTTTAGTCTGAGAGCACCGCTAGGGTTTTGAACTTCGGTTCAGGCCAACAATAGAGATCAGCCTTAGTTATCAGACAGACCAGTCCTTACAAGCAGCACCCATTTACGAGTACAACGGGTGCTGCTTGTAGGGATCATAACGCGACTGTTTTTTAAACACAGATAGACAGACAGAATAAAGATATTTGTATACCTCTGAGTAGATAAAACCATCGCTTCTAAGAATATCATTCAAATCTTATGCATGGCGGGTAGATAACGATCTCTGAAAAAGGTCAAGGTCAAGTTCTTTTTCTTTCTTTCTTTCTTTCACATTAGATCAATGTAGGTCGCAGAGCTACAGGTCTAAACACCTGACAATAGTCCAAACCCCCCAATAAAAAAAATACCCCACCCTTATATACGAACCTGAATGTTGGCTTTTGAAACTGGATCAGGTTAGCAAAATAAACACAACCGAGATGAGAATATTAAGCTTCACCCTCTTAACTGTTGAGAGTGAGGAATTCACATTATCTGCAGCTTTAAGATACTCCCCATCGAAAACTCACCGAGACAAGGTTTTTTTTTATGGGTGATTATGGAATGGTGCACCCGCCTGTGATAACGGTTTACGCTGGCATGCGGTCATGAGACAAATTCACGAAGAATTTATCATCATACCGCGTGGAGGTCACTACTATACAATGAGATCATCATTCTTTCCCCCTTTCCCCCCTAACCGAAACAAGGTTGAGGTACGTATGAGACGAAAAGAGAGTTATATGACCAAAAACGACTTGAACCAAGACAGATGTGCCTGGCGAAGAAGGACTAAGAGAGACGACCTCAAATGAAATGGAAAAAGGCTAGGCAGAAAGAGAATAAAGATATTTGAAAACAAAAAGATTAATCACAGATATTTTATAGGAACCGTTCATCGATATCCATAAAAATATATTCTATAATCACGAAGATTATACATACAATAACCTTTAAGTAGCTCATTAAATTACACATCATTTAAAATCAACAATCTAAATTGTTCGGACTGCATGCGCAAGCGCATACGTGACGAAGGCCACTCGCCGACCAATAAGAACGCGCGGTGTGGAGGCGCGGCACTGACGCATGCCTTACGCAACACGTGTCGAATATTCGTCATTTCCAGGTAAACGTTGTATCAAATAAGGAAAATTTAACCTTACGGTACCCTGTACGGCCTAACTTAGTCTTCAGGAATAGCAAGGTCCGAGCGGATTTTTTAATGGATGAATATGATATGACTGTGCCCGCGGTTTCCACGTGCAATTTATAGCCTATGTATTCTGATATATGAGCTATGTTACTGTAAAGTTTCATCAAAATCCGTTGATTAGTATTGGCGTGAAAGAGTAACAAACATCCAGCCATCCATCATTCTATCCCTACTCAAAATAAAAAAATAGAAAAAAAAACAATATTCATAGTATACAGAAAGGTAGGCTAGGTACAAAAGGCGGTATTATCGCTAAAGCGATTTCTTCCAGACAACCTTTGGGTAGAGGAGAAAAGACAGAAGGTGGTGGATGGCGCAAGATAGAATGAATAGACATAAATAATAATAGCAAATATATATATGATATATTGCTATTATTATTTATGTCTATTCATTCTATCTTAGTAGGATATATATTAGAATATATATTAGTAGGATAACTAACAGTATACGCTGACTAAATATTTGTTGTTGGCTGTTTATAATTTAAAATTAACAGCTTTTCACTAATGCATATAAAAGTATGTATGGTACTTATATAAAAGAAAAATTATCTGACTGTTCTTGTTAATCTCTGAAACGGCCTGGACGGAATTTTACGTGACTTTCTCTCGCAGATAACTTTGAGGAGTAACTTTTTTTAATTCAAATGATAACATTCAATTGAACTAAGTCGTGGGTAACAGTTATTAATATATTTAATAGGGTCGTAAATTGAATAAATTTATGGTAAATAAAGGTATTATTTACCTCTTTCTGTTTCAACTAATTTGCACTAGCAGTAGTCACAAGCTAACATATATCAGTAACCAAACAGCTCGTTGTCAGCTGTGTTTCAATTGACAGGTGAGATATGGCAGTGAAGTTACAGAGTATAGACCAGTGATTCCCAAAGTGGTCTATATCCCCAGGGCTCTTTGACAAACTGCAAGGGGCCTACGAAGCGGTCATCTTGTGTTTTTACTTTATGTTTTTAACACTAAACTTTACCATACCGTACCGTATATACTTTTATATGCATTAGTGATAAGCTGTTAATTTAAAATTATAAACAGATCCTTAAATTTTATTTAGCCAGCGTATACTGTTAGTTATCCTACTAATATATATTCTAATATATATCCTACTAAGATAGAATGAATAGACATAAATAAGAATGGATGCAAAATGGTGAGACTATGTTTAATACAAAATATATGTTGAGGAACTCTTAGGGGTTATTAAAAATCTTGTACATTTTTATGTCTATTTGAAATAAAATATTTCTTGTTGTATGTTTTCCTAATGTACCAGATAATTCAGTGTAAAAATAGTAATTAATTTTCTATAGAAATATAGTTTGCTTCACCCACCACCTTTTACTAATTCTTCTCAATATACTTTGTCCCAGTGACGATAGCTTTTTTAAAACGAGATGAAGGAACTCATAATGTTTGGTTTTATATTATGAACCAATGCTGACTGAATTTACATTTACACCCTAACGTTGTTGTTCTTTTCATTAATAAGCAATTGATCGACTTTAGTTAAAGGTCATTTGGCCAATACAAGTGATACAATACTATTTAATTGTAGTATTCTATAAAAAAAATACTTACAGTACTGATGACACTGGCCGAAAACAAATTTGAAATTCAAATTTCGAATTACAACAAATAACACAGAATTGACGTTAAATTAATTGTCGATATTGGGGTTAAATATCAACACAAACACAATGCTTTTATTACAGGTATTATGAAAAGAAATCGAAAATTTTTAAGTAATAATCGACACACCAGCACGGACTGTCAAGTTGACAATTGACAAACAGCTGTTTGCCAGTGTCGCCATCTTTAAGTTAGAGATTATGCCATGTATCAGTAAAAAAGTGCTAAACGTGTCTAATTTTTAATTAATAATGGAATATTGAAGTTCTACTTAAAAAAGGTATAGACTGCGAATAGTTTCATCTCATTTCATCTTTTTAGATCATAATTGATCTGAAAACAGGCATTGACTGTCAATGATTTGCGTAGAGTATTAAAAACTTAAAAAATATATACCAATTATTTACTTTGAGTAAATCTAATCAATTTTACACATAGTTGATAGTATTATATAAAAAAAATAGATTTGTTTTTTCTTTTATTTGTGATTAACGGAATTGGCTCTTTCGTATACGCCATCATATATTTGTAGATGCCATCTATTGGTAACAAATCAAACTACAACAAAAAATATACATCTAAGAATATAGAGTCATCTATTATTATATTATAAACCTAATTAGTACAATTGTAAGAAGCGTGTTGAAAGTGTTCATAAAATTAATTGTAAAATTTTCATCACTTTGGGAGGTATTCTTTCATATTTATTTAACCTAAAAAAATATTGTTGTCCATATTTTTTATAAAAAATGTCATTGTAATTCCTCTAAAAACAAATCATTCTAATTCTTTCAGCCGCTTTAACTTAATAGTTTAACACAGAGACTTTATGAGAGATTTTATGTAAATATAAATAAGATAATAAACTACCGATCTACTATTTAATGCATAAATTTCCGTTCGACCAGTAAATTACGATTCATTTTCAATTTCAAATACATAGGCAAACCATTTTTAGCAAAATATCCTTTAGAGTTATATCATTGTCAAAAAATACTATTTACTATAGTATTATGGTCTTTTCATGTAAAATAATGTCAGATTTTTATATATTCAACAAACAAAATAAAGTTCTGTTCGTACTAAATTGGCAAGAAACTGTTATATATGGTAACACTAGTTTACAGTTTTTTAAAACCTTTCATTTACATTAATTATTGTATTCTTTTTTCATACTCTGTCATAACATTGTAATGGACAAAAGAAAGGAAGAATAAAATGTTTGACAACTTTATACCGAATTGTTATCTGCTGAAATGCAGAAGAATTAAATAAAATAATCATTATTAGTGATTAAAAATATTTAATGTTTTTTTTTCATTTTATCATGCTTCTATTGTCAGTATGTGACAATAATACTAAAAATATTATATATTATTATAAAATATGATATATAAAAACAAAATGTAAAAGATACATAATATATCACAGAAACATATATATTTTATATCTACCTAGATGTTTTACAATATTAATATAATACTATATGTATACATAATACATTATAATATGAGAATCTATATATACATAAAAATTCGAATAGCCTTTACATCGTGCCAAAGTTCTAGTTTATTTTATTACGCCGAGCATGTACTTGGTACCCTGTATTGTACGATTTTAGGTACGCCATTCACTTTAGGGTTGCCACCTCGGCGTATTTGGTCTCTCTGTGCCTTGAATAGCTGGTCAATCTTGGGCTTGCAAATGACTTGGACAGGTTCAGACGTAAACTGCCCAGCGTTGCAGTGGGTCTGACAAGACTTCACTGGTAAGGTGGAAATGCAAATCTCATCATGGTTTTCATAATATTGGACTTGTTCTTTAATCTGACACTCCTCGCGCTGTTTCAAGTAGTTCCTTGATCTGTACACGTTTGTGGATCCTGATTTCTCCTCTGATGATGACGAAGAAGAACTGGAATACGCAGCGTTTTGCCATTCACCATTGTTCCTTAGGATTGAGGTGTACTGGTGTTTTGGCTGGTAAGCCGCTTTCTTAGCCTCTTCTAATAACTGTATTGTTTTCGGATCAGCATTCTCGTCAGTCAAGGAGAAAGCAGCACCATAATGTTCAGGCTTGTCGACAATTCCAAACGGAGTCAAGTAGTCCAAACGAGGGGATCCAGACATCTGTCCACAGATTCCTCTGTTGGTGTAGCGATCCTTCTTCGACATGACTACAAATCTTTGACCATCATACATAACTCGCAGACGATTTTCCTTTATGTCTATGACCAGAACACCATCAGAATTGGTGTTGTACTGAAGCAGTGGGGTTTCCTCGACCTCGTCCCAATAGATGGTAAGCTCGCCTTCTGAGATCTTCTTGGAGTTGGTGTTAACTTTCACGCTGCACTTGTTGGAGTTGTCCCGAGGAGGTTGTATTTCAACTTCTAGATGTAGACCGCTGGTCTTTAGCCTGTCAAAAATAATATATGTATATAAATTTCGCATAATATATTCAGTTTTACTAACTATTACCCGAGACTTTGTCCGCGTGAAATTAAAATAAATGAAATTTCTATAACATATGTAGCCTAAGTTACTCCTTATAATGCGCTGAGGTTTTGTGATGCATTAAGGTTATAAGAAAAACTATTGTAATAGACGACCTCGTAAATCGATCAAATATTTTAGTGAATGAAATATAATAATATTCCCCATAATGTAATAATAATATAACATATGTTAGCTATTCTCGCTGTTTTCTATAAATAAGAAAATATATTTTACCCGTAGGAAATGTATAATTCTTGTTGCTTCGCATTCATTCTTCGGGCAAGGACTACCAGTTTATTGTTGCGGAATTCGGGCTGGCTACCGATGTCCAGCATCACGAGGTGCCATGAGGGGCTCAGTGTGTAATCGTAGGCACGGTTGCTGAAGGTCTTAATTGTGTTCTCATCCACAGTGCAATAAGCTGATGGAGGAAAAAGAAGTTATATATTTCATGATGGATTGTATGACTTATAAAGCGGCTGAAGGCCAACTACTGATACGGGTTTAGACTGAAGGCACCGCTAGTGGTACAAACTTGGACTCAGGCCGTCGTAATTTCGATCCTCGTTTGAATTGAACGGAGGATTGATCAGAGGGTAAATTAAATGGTGTTTCTAAACAAGTATATATGGGCGACAGTTTCCACTTTCCATTAGGTGGACTGTCAGCTTAAGGATTAAGGTGTCATACGTACACTGTAATGTTCGATCATAATGGCTTAGTGTCATTTATTTAATTCAAATAATATGATCTCGTTTTAACTGTTCCTGTATTAACTGGTATTGCCGAAATGAACTCAGGGACGCGAAATTGTCCCGTTTTCGTAAACCACGCGAAGTCTAGCCAGCCGGTAGTAATGTTGACAATTATGGTGATAGTTTATAAAGAAATATTGTGTGTCATAAATTGATACACAAATATCTTCTAAATATTATTGATTAACACTTAGTTGTGAATAACACCGAAATCAAACCAATTCAAAAGTAAGAGACAGTGGTAGTATTCATCCTATCTTCGTTATACCTACACAGTATGCTCAGTAAAATGAAGTTAACATTTGAAAATGCCATATTGCCTGTGACTATCCTTCAGAATACATATTACATTTGTGAATATTTATTCAGTTATAAGATATTTAACTAATTTCTCGACATGACTTCCCTCACCTGATGAAGTAAGTTTGATGAACAAACAAACACACTGCATGTATTATAATAGATATTAGTATACTTACGCAAAGATTGATAATTTGTGTAATAGTTGCGTAGACGCTGACTCGATTTGATAGGAGTGTAGATGGCTAAACCAGTAGCTGACGATTCTGGGATGGGTAAATCCTTAATATGAAGTTCACCCATTCTTGAATTTATAAGGACATCCATAGATTGTTGCAAATAGCTAATCTGAGCTGATACTTCCAATTGGCCATCAGATGTAACCTTCATTGGGTTTGTTTCCAATGCCCAGTAACCTAAATATCCTAACATGGAGTACACTTGGCTCATTAAAGCTTTCACACGGGGACTAACTTCCTTATATGTTACTGAAGCCTTAATGAAATCAGGAGCGTGAGCCAGCACTATCATTTTGTGACAAGCCTCTTGGTAGTAATTGTTTAAACCCATTTGATCTTTACAGACCTTTGCCAAGGGATGGTTCTGAAGTAATTCTGCATATTTCTTGCTACGCTCCAAGAACCCTTTAACGTTAATGTTTCCATTGCGGCCGTAATTGAGATTAAAATTAAATACCGTCTTCATTTCTATATCGAGGGCTTTGAGGAAGTTCAGGAAAGACATTTCTGGTTTAATGACCATGCCTATTCCGTTTATTTGACTGTTTCCATGTTGTTCAGAATTTTTACCAGCAAAGAATGTATAATGGATTTTGTGATCGACTGGACTATTGGCCATAGCCCAGGTAAACACATATTCTAATTTTTGTGCTCCTTCAAAAGTAGCGCTTAAGTCGAGGATTTGTACTTTTGCAGTGTTAATTTCTGGAACGACGCGGTTGAGTAATTCTTTGCGACGCTCTTCACTGTTTGGTTTGACATCCTTCACATCAGATGCAGTATATTCCTGTTTCTTATTCTGTTTTTGGTTGAATAATTTATCTGAAATTTATTAATAAATTTGTTTTTAATTAAATATATTGTTTCAATTGAGTAGAATAAAATATAATTTTCAATCGAGTAGAATAAAGAAGATAAAATTTTCACTTACCATAAACTGCAGTCAGCGTTAGTCGTTTGTTTTGACTTTGTTTGGCAAGGTATTTCAAATTGTAATGTGTCAGAGCAACATCTTTTTGGGATAGTAGAGAAGCGAGATTCATGAACATATTGCGACAGTGACACATGCTTGCAATGTTCTTGTAATCTGAAGAATATGAGTATCCTTGAATTTGGAATTGCATGCCCACTGATTGTCCGAATTTAGTGTCAATAGCAGACGTCTTGAATACGCGGTTGATAACCTTAGTAGTAGTGTCCTGTGAAACGGGGACCAACGTATCCTTCTTCTGGTTCGCGGTGTATGGCCATACACTGTAGTGGAGGATATTGTAATCCTGATCGGGGCGTAATGGTTCCAAGCCAATCTTCACTTCTCCTTGATTCACATCTAAGTGCAATTTGAGGGGGATGCTTACTTGCAATTTATTAACAACACCTGTAGATGGGTACTGATTGGAAAGAGTATCCAGGAAACCGACGCTTCCGTCAAGGTTTCTTGCATAAGTCAGGTATACCTCCTTGTCTATGGTTACTTTGTTCTGTTTGTGTTCGCCTTTAAGTTTGCCCTGGATATGTACAACAGTAGGTGCCTTGTATTTGAAGATGAATGGCACACCCATGGCTACTGGGAACATTACGGAGACTTGGGCCTGATTGAAGATCTTCGTGTAATGTCTCTCAATACCATTGTTAAGATTAGAGAAGTACTCTGACATTAATTTAGGCAATTGTTTAATATCTGATTCGCCGAAGGTAAATAATCTTTGTTGACTCATCAAGTCTAAGTAGAAAGCAGCTTCCAGAGGTTTGGAATCTCCGCGTTTAATATTCAGCATTTCTACGATTTTTTCGGCTGAATATTTGTGATTGAATTCCTGTTGCAATTCTTGGTTTCTATGATTCTGGCCCATCAGATATTGATAATAGTCGACTAACTGATCAATGCTTGATGCTGAAGCTGAAATCTGAAAATGAAACGCATTTAACTATTAATAAAATTCAATGGAATAAAGAAATTTTTATTCCATTGAATTTTATCAACTGTATTAATTTGTTCACATTAGTCCAAGTGTCTTATGCCACATCATATGTTTAATAATAATAATGAATATATTCTCATTGCTTCAATGGCCCATTTGTTAGTAATAATTTTTCTAAACTAATGTTAGTGTATAACAATCATTATGGAACATGCTTACATGTATGTATTTAAATTTCTGTCTACAAAGTACGCCAATATATCGGTGTATCGAAATTATTCATCAATGTTTAATACATGAAGTTTAAAAATATTTGGTTCATTGTAATTTAAGTTAGTGGATTAATTTATCCTTATAAATAAAATGTAGATAATATATACCAGATTGTCATTATTCCAGCCTCTCGTTTTGCTTTTTATGGAGTACTTCAGGTATTTAGGCAGCATACTGTCATGACTTCCAATGGTAGCTAAGTCTCTCAGGATACCCATTTCATATTCATTGTCATAATAATCTTGGAGATTTTTGGTAGAGTATTGGTGACCAAATTCTTCTTTCGTTACCATAGGTTTGGCAGCTTTAGCGATTCTTGCTCTGTGAAAAATATAAGACTTAGTTATGATATCCAAATAAGTCAATATTTGTTTACGAAATATGTGTAGTTAACTAGTAAGAGAATATATTAATAGGACGACAAAGATTAATATTATTATTTTGATTAAGTAAGCATGTTTGAGCTATTCAATAGATATCGTGGTGATTATAATTCCAGTCAGAGAAGTCACCTATAGACTCTCATCTCAGTATAAGAATAGTCAATAGACATGAAATAATTTGAAATTATACTCACAGTTCTAAATATCGGGGATTTCTCAATTTAGCGGCAGATTCAATGGCGGATTTTAATGAAGCGCGGACATGAATGCTAGGATCATCATGAGTCATTTGAGCCATAGCCAGCATCATAGGAGTAGTTGGAATGCACATCATGATTTTATCAACAACAGCAACTCTCACCTCATAGGGCTCAGCAGTATTTTTCAGAATGCTATACAATACTGCCTTCACATCGTGATCTCCCTGGTAGGAGAGGACATCTAAGCTATTGATAATTTCACGGCGAAGATATGTCGATACTGGGATTTTACCTTCTAAGTACGGAGAAAATATTTCGATAATGAAACGGTGTCCCAAATTTCCAATTGCCCTAATGTAGACCTGAGCTTGTTTACTATCTTTTTGTTCAACAGTGTTTTTCAATTCCTGAGAGAGACGGGGTAGGATCTTTTCGTTGACGAATTGATCATGTCGGCGACAGAGACGGCCATACATGTGAGTAGGATAGAAATTATGAGCAGTATCATTATTAATATGACCTCGATTAATGAATCTAGTAGCAACAATCAAAGCAGTGTTGTGGAGATTCTTTTGTTGTCTTACTTCATCACTCATAGCCAGATCGAAAAATTGTAACATAAGGTCTTTAGTGGGGTACCGCAATGTTCCAGCAAGACTTGCCACCACTTGAGCTGCTTCCTCTTCATGGATCTTTTTAGTTTGAATCCAGGACTTAATTAGTTGGAAAGCCGGTGGAGTGCCAGTTTGAGCTACCGCATCCCGGAAGACCATCCACATGTCAGATTTAATATTGTTGTTGGAGGACTTAGCAATTTCAATGCCGCGACTTGTCTGTGTTAGTTGCTCTAAACTCATAGATGCTAAAATCTTGACAAGTATGTTGAATTTAGATAATGCGTCTGCTTTAGGCATGTTATTGGGATTTTGTAGCTGTTGAGCTATATCCTGCACAAGTTTTTGAGCATTCATAGTGTTCTGTTTTTTATCAACTCGGGATTGATGGGTCATGTATAATGCTGCATAAGCAGGCTCATTATTCCTAGGAATGTCATCGTTTATGAAAGCTGCTTCTTCACTGCTGGAGGAACTAGATGAACTCGACGACGAGCTGGCTGCATCGTTATTTCTCACCACCTTATTGATGTTTACAGTTTTCCTTATAGAATGACGTACTCTATTTTGAGTATCATCAACTTCCACATTTTCATTAGATTCTGATGATAGACTGTCGTCACTAATGGTAACTTTTTTTGATGTTACGGAGTATAACAGATTTTCAACGAGACGCCCGCCTTCAGGTTTAGGCCAAACTCCTTCGGTATCCTGTTCAAGTGATACCAGGTTCAAATTAACGTAACTGTGCACCTGAGCTTTCTGCTTGCCATATAAATGTGGGTGTACGGCAACGATGCTGGTGGTTTCTGTTTTATAAATAGGACCCTCTTTACCCATTAGAATACGTGATACGGTTGAGCGCCTCATGAATTGTTCCTCGTGTGATTTGTGGGCTGAGCCAGTCCATTCGGAACCCTCGGGAACTCCAAAGTGGTAAGCTACTCTGTGGTGACAATGCTGGTAATTCTTGCTCTTTGTGATCTCAATTGGTTCCTCAACAGATGCGAACAGAGGGATCTCGCGGCGCCATTCGGATTGTACAGGGGACACACTGTAGAGAGTCTCACAATCGCCAGTGACGTCAGTTTCCATCTTCTTGAACAGTCCTTGGTTGGTCTCTTCATCGTAGTTGTTACTCGTACTACGTATATGTCTCTGTGTTGAAAGATCCACTTGCAGAGCACTGAGCAAACCTTTGAGTAAATTCTCATGGGGAAGAGGCATACTTGATGGCAGATTGAGAGATTTGACACGGCCTTCTTCGACCAAGATCTCAAACGGTTGATCCAGTTTGGATACAGGTTGGTACTTGAGATCTTTCGGGAGTTCCTGGTTGTTTTTCATCTCTTGGTGTATTAGAGTATGCTCAGGGTCTTCAAGTTTAGCTTGTAGACGTCCGGGAGCCAAGACGCGAATGATGAAGCGTGCCCTAAAGGCGCTGCCACTCCGCGGGCCTTCTTCTTGGTGAGCCAAGGTATGAGAGTTAACATCATAGCGATACAGTTTGCCAACCGTCCACAGTTGATTTTCAGTGGTGGAGCCGGAGCGGCAAGTAGCGATGGCGACTGGAATAAAAAGAAAATGATAACTTCATAACTGGTCGAGTGTGGGCATTTGGAGTAAGTACCTATTATAGCAAATCGATTTAGACGTACATTTTATACGACATAAAGTCTCAGTCTCTAATCAATACAACATTTATATAACAAAAGTAAACTAGATATTCTGTCATAGTAATTTTCAAGTAAAAACTTCAAAATTGCTGCAGAATCAACACACACAAATCAACATTGCATTGTATAAATACCTACGTAAAAATATGCATAAATATAACTTACTCGTAATTTCTAAATTCTGGTTCTTTCTTTAATATAATTAATTTAAATTCTGAATGAATTAGTTTTGTACTCATATCCTTACATCCACCCATAAACCCCAATATATAATACATAGAATTAAAATAAATAATATTTATTCAAATACACTCAATATAAGCCCTTTTAATAGTCACATATTTTTATTCTACCATACATTCGTAACTCACTCATCACACGCAGAATGAGCAAAAAACTTAGCATTAAGACGACGCATTGCAAATACTGACGTCAGAAATCTTAACTTTTCTCAGTAATTACAAATCCTACGGGGCTCATATTTAGGTATTTGATTTTTCACTACTTTGACGTCATAATCATTGTTCTAGTTACATGAATAATTTAATTCTGTTCAAGACAGAACAAGATATAAGTAACATACAGTAGAAGTTTACTACTCAGAATTTACTAATTTTAAAGTCAATTGTAAAAACAATCAAGTTATATATAAATCTACCTTACTACCAAAATACATATATCCATCTAAACTAGATGTAAAAATACGAAATGTTGACTCGAATATAAAGAACATGACGTGAAAAAAACGTGAAGATGTAGGTAAAGATGTATTACGAAGATAGACGTAGGCTGTGTTGTATAAACGAAACATACGAAGACGCAGGTAATAGCTATAGATACCAATAATTCGTTCCCCTAAGTTAATTAATGTATAATAGTCAATTGTAAATAAAAATTTAATTAATTTTAACTCACAACCGCTACTAAGTTGAAATATTATTTAGGTTTTTCAAAATAACCACGTATATCTATTATGGAACAAAAATAAAAATATATTATACAGAAATGAATACAAAAATATATGATTTCTTAATTTGAATTTCGAATAAAAAATACAAGAACTAACAATCTAATTTATTTTTATACATATATAAGTGAATGTATAAGATGTAAGTGAAATCTTACCGAGCGCCGCAGTTAGAACCAGAATCTTCATCTTGCCGTTATTCAAGCCACAGATCCTACTGGTTCCAGGAGAAGTACACTTCTGATTTGATTAGATTTGCATATGGCTTATATACCAATTATACACGTGTGACATAGTTATAGAAAACTGCCAATATTCAATGACCTGCAGCTTTGTGATAACCACAATGTATCGATGTTTGTATTGCACAACGAAATCGGGATGATTTGATACGAAGGCTAACCTCGGATCGTGATAAAATCTAGTATTGGACTTAGAACATTAACATTGAAATGTATTTATTGGCCACTAGTTCCTTTCTGTGACTTCGTCTATAATAATGACTCTTTATTGCGCATACATAAACAAAGGACAATAAATACACAACAATGAAAATAAACATTTTACAAAAGGCGGTCTTATCGCTATCAGCAATCTCTTACAGACAACCAGGTGTTTTTTTAGTGGATAATAATGGAATATTGTACCCGCCTGCGCTAACGGTTTACGGTGGCGGGGCACCAGTGGAGGATTATAAGACGAGCATGAAGTCAGGTCAGTTAGCCCAACGTGACAAATTAAGCGGGAATTTATCACGATGGTTTCCAGGGGGAACCGCGTGGATGTCGACCTGACATGGTACATTGCTAGCAATGGGATCATTAGTCCACATTACTAACAATCACATTCCCCCCGACAACGTGCTGTATTTACTTATACAGAGAAGGTAGGTCTAGCACACCGCTTTACGACCGATGGTCGCGGGTTCGATTCCTCGCACAAACATTTGTATTCATGAGTATGATTGTTTGACACACACACATATAATAAAAAACACAAGCTAATTATCTATGGAATTTTTATTATTATTATTATTATTATTGTCTATATTAAATAAAATCTTGTTTCAAGGCGTTTTTAGCCCGGGTCCTCGCCAACATGAAGGAGGGCTACTGGATAAATAAGAATGTAGGTACATAAGACTGAATATGCATAAATAAGAATAGTCAGGAGTGTATCCATAAACAGTGGAGAAGTTGAGTCACAACGCGAATTTCGAAGTTTTGTAGCCCGGGTCCACCCCAACATGCTGCCCACATTCATGAAGGAGGACTACTGGCAGAAGGCTTCGTTGGCCTATCGGTTTAGAATACCGCCTTACTTCCGATGGTCGCGGGTTCGATTCCTTGCACGGTACAAACATTTGTATTCATGCATGTTATTGTCTGAATAGGTTTGGGTATTTTCTATGTAAAATATGTATGTATTTAGAAAAAAAAATCTATGTATTAATAACAGTTGCTAGTACCCATAATACAAGCTCAGCTTAGCTTGGGACTAAATGACGCTGAGTGAATTGTCCTGAGTTATAACAAAATATTTAATTGACAGGAAAATTAAAAAATTGGCGGACTACTTAATGTAAGTTGATAAATAAAGTACGGTTCATTTACTAACTTAAATCATCCACAGGCATCATTAGCAGACTCCATCTTATTATTAATATTATAAACGCGAAAGTTTGTGAATATGAATGGATGTTTGTACTCTTTCACGCAAAATCTACTAAACGGATTTTGATGAAACTTTACAGCAATATAGCTTATATCAGAATAACATATGGACTATAAATTTAATACGAGTGAAACCGCGGGCCTTGCTAGTAAATAATAAAAATAAAACATTTGTAACATATTTTTATTTCTTCTATTGAATTTTATTATTATTTACATTTAATCATAATTAACATTACCGACAGTTACTGTCTTTTTTATTTATTAATAAAAAATAGCAAATCAGAGATCTTATAAATGGAAAATCTTACTATGAAACAACCTAAATATATTAGGAGATTCATTGGAAAGCATTATTGTACATTTTTAAACTTAATGTAGTTTAAACATAGCTTAATATTAGTTAAACATTATAAATCATATAAAAAATTGAGCAATTATAGGTGTCGTTGGAAAATATTCCTTATTACAATAAGCTTAAAACCTAAAAAAATGCTAAAAAATTGTTTTGTCTTTTAGGTGAGATCTGTGTTAAACACAATACGATTTTTACGCTTGTAACACCTAATATTTGTATAATTAACAAATTATTATAATATATACATTAGTAAATAAAAATGGAATTTATGATTCTTAATATTATTAATAACATATTATAAATTTTATATTTCAAAGTTACTTAACCAATATTAAAAAGAAAACGACAATTTTATTATGGAATAATTAGAATCGTATTTCATTTTTCTAATTTATTAATGATTAAATTTCATTAATTTGTAATAATATAATTTAGAAATTAATGAATAATAAAAATTAATAACATTAGAAAAAATTAACCTAAAAGATTTGGCAAAAACATGCATATGCTGCAAAATATTTTAATTTTAATTATATTTAACACAATAATGAGTTTATAACAAAATAATAATTAATATTAAAACTAAATTAATTGAGCCAATTTCATTACGTCAGTCTTTGATTGAGCTACAATTTACTTATTAACTATTTATTATTACTACTAATTAATTTTCTACTATGTGTATATTTATAACTAAAATTGTTATATGTAGTAATGTAAATGGAATTAAAAAAAATGTTTGACAAAATTAAGACACATTTTTAATGTACATTTTCGTCATTTTACCGTTTATAATTAACAGATGAGTACTACTTTATAGTTATCTTTATTATCTTTACATATCATAAAATCATAACGAGGCGAAAACTGTACGTTTATCTGTTTTGTGATAATTTTTGCTGGAGAAAATGTGATGAAATTTTGAAATATAGACTAAAGAAATTTGTAAAAATAACCCTCAATATGACAATAATAAATTTTACGAAAATTTTCAATATTACAGATACAAAACGCAGAAAAAAACTGTTTAACGTAGAAAAAAACTTCTCATGTAACATTTATAGAAAAGTATGGAAGTACTAAGAACCTCCTTTTTTAATATCTGCTGAAACTGTCGTTTTCGCATCTTTCCCGTGGTAATTTCTGGTATCCATTTATAATTTTGTCTTTATATAAGAACAGCTACTCGCCCCGGCTTCGCACGGGTGTATATGTAATATATATATAAACCTTCCTATTGAATCACTCTATCTATTAAAAATACCGCTTCAAAATCCGTTGCGTAGTTTTAAAGATTTAAGCTTACATAGGGACAGACAGCGACAGCGACTTTGTTTTAAATATGTAATTATGTAAGTTATTTTATTGTAATTTCTTTGCTTCTATTGGATGTTCATTATAATCTCTGAAGTCTTGGAACCGTCAACTTATCTCTAATAGATCTTAACGTCGCCAGTTTCGCTGGAGAACTCGGTACTAGCTGTTCCTGTTCTGGTCTCCTGATTGGCCTGGAAGGTGGTAGACAAGTTCTTGGCACATTGGTTATGTGTGGGTGGGACTTGACGTGTTTACGTAGAGATGAGGGGTCTGTATAGCGTTTTCCGCATCCAGCAGCACCACAAGCATACGGCCTCTGGGGAAGAAGTAAAAGGTGAAAATTTCAAATAATATGGCACACATAATAAACTGTATTAACTCAAAGAATACTAATATTTCAAATTCTCATACATAGCTATAAAAATAAAATGCAAATATTATTACAAAATAATATCACAGATAAGTCGCCAAATTATTAGTGCGTTTATGCTGTCATTGCAAAAGGAGAAGACAAAAAAATAGTAAAGTGAAACTATTTTAAAAATAAAAACGAACTGGCTGAAATAATAAAGATACTGATACTACATAAAGAATCAAGATGTAATTGGTACGTACAGCATTAAAATGCGTCCTTTGATGCTTGGCTCGATCTGAAGAGTTTGAGAAAGCCTTCCTGCAGTGAGGAGCTGGACATGCGTACGGACGCTCCCCTGTGTGCGATCTCACGTGGATCTTTAAGTTTTCTAATCGCGAAAACGCTTTACCGCAACCTGGATGCTGGAATAAAATGCAAATTGTTAGTACAATTTTATTCAAATTAGAAAAGACAATTTCTAACACTATTAAATCAATATCAAACTTTAATTCAGTTGTTAATAGTAGGTGACAAACTGAATAGCTTCAGTCTCATTGTTATTAGTGGTAGAATGCTATTGGAAGTGGAATTCAGCTTACTAACTGATTATTTAGATGCACACGACTTCGTACACATAATCTACCTTGGTTGAAATTTTAGTAAAAAATCTTGAAACTTTGTTAACTTGGTAAAAAAATTGAATTAGAATTTTTTTATGAATAGTATGAAGAGATTTAATAGGGATATAATAAATCGAACTAATTTCGCACCAAAACAGTACGATGATGATAAATGCAGATTATTAACAAATTAATAATCTTAGATGAAGACTTACGTGACATCTATTAGGCTTGTGTCCAGAGTGTACCCGCATATGTATTAGTAGTTTGTATCTAGCGTTGAACGGTCTACGTGAACGAGCACAATCACGCCATAGGCAGCTGAACTCATCGCCTAGAAAAAATAATTTAAAGGTTTATAAAACGATATGCATGATCTATAGTATAAATTCTGTACGGTAGGTATATTGTAAAAAAAAGCTTAGATGTTGTTAGATTTTTTCATACAAGTTCGCAAGATAAACATCAACTGGCAAAATTTGTAATATTAGTGTGGAGTGTAATATTACTTCACATGAGACTAAATAATTGCTAAATAATAACTTCCTTAAATCAATATCATATAAAATCATCAATATAAAATTACTTAATAAATAAACTACTGTCTTTACCTTTATAGGTGTTGACATGGGCCCTTTCAATATGTTCGACTAATGTGCTCTGGTTAGGATATCTTTCAAAACATTGCTCCCATAAACAAATCCTTTCACCTGAAATAACATAGTATCAACATTAATAAATATGAAAAGTGAAAAGATAATTAAAGTTAGTAGTACTTTCATTAGCCTGTGTATACCTTGATTTTTTTCCTTGTCTGATTTTTTATCGTTTTGATAATTATTTCTATTATTATCATTACTAGTTTCATTATCTGTTTCTAGTATTAAGCCAAAATCATCCAAGTTAATGAATAAATCTTCTTCATCGAATGTTTCTGAGTGTCCGTCATGATCGTAGTAACTTGTACTGTGAACGTCACTTTCTATAGATTCGGAAACTGAGAGTTTTCTTTCATTTCTATCGAAATTAAATTCTGTGCAACTCGTCGGAGTATCAGGCAAAATATATTTTTTATCAGTTCCTAAATTATAAAGAATATTATTGGGATAACTGTAATGCTCTATACTGTTGACCAATGGCAAGTCGGCGTTTGAAATTATTGTATTATTGATTTGATTATCAAAATTCTCTAAATCATTAGATCCTTCTACATTATAATGACAATATCTTTTAGAAAACGCTGTTTCGATGGGTGGTAATAAATTATTTTTATCGTTAGCTATTGAAGTAAAATAATCTTCATTAAAAGCTTCAGGAGTGAGAGGACAAGTTTCATTTTCTTCCCTGCACAATTCATCTATTAACGATTCGTCATCAATGTAATCATTATTGATATCATAATTATTTTTTTCAATCTCTTTGTTATTATTATATGTACTATTCTTTTCCTCGAATTCAATACTGTCAAGATCTAGTAAAACTTCTTTAATATTTTGATCGTTAATATTACTTTCAATAACTTTGTCTATAGCTTCAAATCCTGTTGTATTATCTATTCCATTATCCCAACCATGTAGTACTTCAAAATCGAAACTTTCCTCTGCGCCATATTTAAAATTGTCTTTACATTTTTTATTACCGTTCTCTAATTCCAAGTTGAATTGTGACATATAGTAAGCATGTAGATCTGTGACATTATCATTCCTCTCTTGAAACAGTTCGTCTTCATCATAACAAGGCATGATATCGTACTCAGTCATATTCGCAAGTTCATTTACCTACAAAAGTTCAGTAATCTCTAGCTTAGGTGCTTGTAATTGACATGTGGTGTTTGCTCAGCTTCCCGCATATGGTTTTGCTATTGCTATTATTATAAAAATAAACTTTCTCTGCGCCTCATCACGCGTGGCGCGGCCATCTGCGAATTATAAATTTAATCGGTTTTTTTATTCTTATTATTTCTCGAGACACGTGTTACAACTTGTTGCTACCTTATGTCCGTTATAGAGTCGCTGTTTTTTTTCGATCATTTATTTGGATGTTATGCGGATATAAATAAATCGGATGTATTTTTTATATAAAATTATTATTTTGTTTTTTTTTTCTGAGAAATGATTCATTTTCAATATTATTTTTAAATTAACAATGCAAAAGTAAAAAATTAAACTGTGTACTATTGTATTGAAGCGAATACAACTTCAATATTCTGTAATTGTTACAGAATACTTAAGTTATTAAACTAACTAAAAAAATTAACTTTGTATTATCGTAGTTTAATTTTGAACTCTTGTATTGTTTATTAAAAAATAATATTAATCAAATAATTAATATTAAAAAAGACAACAAGGAATATAATAGTTATTTTTCCGAACGTAATAATAGAAGGAACAAAATATATTATATGTAAATAAAAATAAAAGCATAGAATAAAACATGTCTCAGTAGGGATCTATAAGGTATTATGCTATTGCGTATCTGTTAATATAAATATAATAAATAACATTAGAATGTATATAGTTAAGTAATTGTTTTAATATATAAATCTGTTGACAATTAGGTGTAAGTTTATATTATATTAATGTATTAAATAAAAAAATAATGTATAAGTGCTACAAATTATCAGTATAACAAAATCAGGCATGTATTTTGAACAAACAAGTAGTTACTATAACATTTGAACGCTTCATGTTACTGAATATAAATATATGATGTAATTAAATCTTAGTTTCAGTAAGCATTGTATTAAATTAATAGTCTTATATACCACCACTATCTTCTTTTCGCCTACCCCGCAAGAACATGGCGTGATGATCAATAAATTTTTAATGATTTTATTTTATTGACACTTATTACGTCTAAAATCATGAGTATCCCATTGGTTATTATATTTTCTTTTAAAATACATCGGTGGGAAATAAACATACCGCGCATCTGATTGTAAACGGTAACTGTAGCCTATGAACGTTTGAAACTTGTGGTGTCACGAAAATATAAAATAAATAATATAGAAATAAACTAATGGATACTAAAAACTTTCTGAATTTTACTTAATGAGTCACTGTAGAATCAATCTCAAATCAGTGCAGTAGTTCAGATCGCGGTACAAAATCCGCTCTCTATTTCTCTCCCTCTTTATAATATTAGTATAAATAATAATATATACAAAACAAACATTACATTTATAAATAAAATAGATAAAACAAACAACAAATTTATATAAATAAAATAAAATAACATACCTATTTATTTCTCACTGTCTAATAAATTCTTCGCAAATTATGCAACGACAGAATCACTTAAAAACGTAACATTTAAAAAATGGCGCGAACTGTATGGATAAACTTTTTAACAAATTTAAACACAACTTAACAGATTAGTGTCTCAATAAGGAATAACACGGACACGGGTGCCCAACACGTCCCGGTATGGCGAAAAAAAAACCTTACTCCAACTCTTACACATGTGTATCTTGAGACAATAATAAATTTACAACTCAAAATAGTCCTTTCAAAGGGTTACAACCTTATTTCTATATGCATAAGATTGAAAATATATAAAAATATGATATTACGACATTCAATACGGTTGATTCTCTATTGGCGCCGTACATTATCCTTTTAAATAAGTTTTTATTGAATCATTCTGTCATTTTAATTTTTCTGAGCGAGACATAAATGTGTACTACGATTTAATAGAGTTCTCTCTAGAATGTCAAGAATTGACAAAAAAAATAATTATTACGGCATATGAGAAACTTAAACTAGTTAATGTACTTGTGGACGATAGAAAGAGTGGACTGTGTGCGAGATTAATTAAACAATGGATAAAAAATAGTCAATACTATAACATATACCATACCGTAATGAAAATACATAAACAATATATTAAAGAAGACATGTATAATTACAATAAGGTAGTAAATAATAATTATAAAATAATGGTAGGAACAGTAAAACGTTTGCAACAGTCCTGTGAAAAAAGAAACAATTTGCTCAACTAACAATACTATATAGCCGGACCTAAAAGAACTAAATGAACACAATTTGTATGAAAGTTTAATATTTCTATTCTGCTTCTTCGATGAGTTGTTCAATTTCATATAAACAGAGAGATGAACTTCTTAACATTGCTTGGATTTACCGTACGTGTGCCGGCTCCATTGTGTGGAACAGAGGGAAACTCCGAGCACTTCCCGGGACTTGTGATCTGGGTAAAGGTTTAAGTATAGGGCCCTTTTATCAATACGTCAATACACACAGCTCGTGTTACTCTCCCTGTCCAACCAAATCTGGTAGGAGCCTGCTAGTGCAGCTTTAGATACTTTAGCTTTAGTATAAAACTTATAGCAGCTTTAGACAAGCGAAGATCTTTTAGAAGATTGTATAGAAATTTCGCTAGTATACCTCTCTCTCCCACTTCGACCGCATATAAATTAACCACATAGGCATTTTAGTAAATTCCTTTATTAGTATATAACATATATACTCGCGCATCTTCGTCTGCATCAAACTTATTTGATATTTATCATTATATTCTGCTTAATTTACATTTTTTTAAATATTACCCGGAATTCTTCTCACTGTATAGACATACAGGGAAAATCCAGGATTGCCGAAGACCAGGTAAACGCTGTATTTCGTGATTGGAAAACCTCAGGCAGTGTTTTAGGAGCACCAGGACCGCCGTGGACAAAATAAAAATCACCGTAATGATTACCAACCCGATAAAAGATGGAACCTACAGATAAATCCGTCCATCCAAACTCACAAACTCCCTTGTTTTTAATATTAGAACAGATAACATAATCACCAAAAATAACTTTTGTGACAATTTTTGACTGTCTGTCTGTCTGTTTGTTCCGGCTAATCTCTGAAATGTCTGAACCGATTTGGACGGGACTCCTTTTGGTAAGTAGCTGATATAATAAGAACTAACTTAGGCTACTTTTATTTTAGAAAAATAAAGTTAAATTCCACGACCACGAATTCCAGCGGACGAAGTCGCGTGTACAGCTTGTAGTATAATTTAATCTATGTATGACAAGAGGTTGTCTGTGGTATAATCTATGATGTTTATAACGTACTCTGTGCAATTGATAGATTCTGTATTGTGAAATGGCGGGAACGGCCACATTAAATGTGAAGCGCAAATTAGCTTTTTATTTAAATACAGTACAAATATATGTATAAATTGTCTTATTTACAATTTCTATGTCAGAACATACATCGTCTAGATATAATTGTGATGAGAAAAAAGTAAGGCAACGTTTTTTTTATGCAAATGGGCCATAACGAAAGGGCTGCAGACATAACGATGCGATGCACCCGTTAACATTTTTTTTGACCAATAAAAAACGACAGCAAGTGCTTTCTACAAGTTTTTATGCGACTTTTTCATTTATCTCGTTTGAAGTGTTAGGAGTGAATATTTTAATAATATTCATTCTTTTGTTTTATATATTTTTATTTCACTATAAAATCTACAATATTATATATGCAGATATTTAATATGGACGGTCTCGGTGGTCTAGTGGATTAATTGTATTGGTCGTGGATTCGATTCATTAATTTATATACATGAGAAAGTTTGTATTGTTGTGTGGTTTCTATGTGTGTATTTATGGTATATATGTATATATTTAAATAAAAATAAAAATAATTGAGTACCCATAACACAAGCTCTGCTTAGCTTGGGATTAGATAGAGCTCTGTATATTGTCTTTGATTTAAAAAAAATATCAACCGTACTATCTATATGTAATTTTCAACCATTCGTAATCAAGATAATAAAAAGACATACTTTTTAATTATAGATATGTGTATCTAAAGCTAGAAACAGTATATAAATATATAAATTGAATCTTTGTATATTATTTTCTGAACCCTATCATTTAATAGCTTAGTAACTACTGTATCAAGAGTTAGAAGGACACAAACAGACAAACAAGCTAAACCTACCGATCTAATCTCGCCTACATTGTATCATATCTCGGGTACAATAACCTACGACACGTGTACCCGCTGACTTGCGTAGACAAGATCAATACCTATTTTGCTATCTATTTCTATTTAATACCTAGAGGCTATCTCTACTTTACGTCACACTTTAACAGTGACATTGTTAAACAAACAGTGTTCAAAAATTTTTTTTTTCGGATTACTCTAATGCCCAATTTACACTCAGCCCGAGTGGGCAGGGATGTGAGCATGGAAGTGAGCAGCGCAATAGTGTAAACACGAGTGGAAAAACTTCCCATGCCATTGGCGCTGCCACTCGCGCTGCCAGGCGCTACCTCGATTGTCGGTTTTTCGATTTTCGAGTGGAACGGAAGCGACTGAATGTAAACGTAGCATGGCACTCCAAACCAGTGGAGGGACTTATGGAGCTGCTGAATAAGAATAAGATATATAAATATAGAATAAGGTCAATAGAAATAGAAATAATGTTTATTCAAATAAACTCAATACAAGCACTTTTGAAGAGTCATATTTTTTTATTCTACCACACATTCTAAACGCAGATTTACAAGAAGAATGAGCAAGAAACTTGTGTGTTGTTGAGAATGGTGGAAAGGTAAGAAGCGTAATACAAGGATCAAAAACAAATCAGTAAAAGCACGGAAAATGATATTTTTTTCATTTTCATTTCATTTTGTTATATTTAAAAATCTAGTAGTGATACGAACATCTTAGCAATTTATCAACAAATCTTTGTATAAAATATTATCTAATCAGTCTATTATATTTGTGACAATTTAACAACCGTATTTTAATTGTGGTCGCCATGTGGTCGAATTTCGACCATAATTAATTTAAATTATTTTTTAACATAATTAAGGTTTTATTGTCAAATACTATACAATATACTTCTATGTATGTATGTGTCAAATATATGGTACTGTGTGTAATATTTTATTATAGTAGAATAGAATAGAATAGAATAGAAAATAATTTATTCAAATAAACTTAATTTAAGCACTTTTGAATAGTCATAATATTTTTTTTTGTCTATCGCTCGTTCGGAAAGCTGTCTTATCACAAGAAGAACGAGCAAGAAACTTGTGTGTTCCTCTTTTAAATAATCCTTTAAGTTTACATTTACAAGTCGAAACAAACTTCCAACCAGCACTAATTTTATTTGGGTCAAATGTAAATATACAAGATTAAATCAGTCGTAGTGATAAGAGCAGACCAGTCCCTACAAGCAACACTCGTTCACGAGTATGACGGATGAGCCAGCCATCACTGCGCTCGACCATATTTTAGGGAGCCCAAATGTATTAGTAAGTATAATTAAAAAAATATTAATATGCTGCACTCCTTCTGTATATATGTACGTATACTATAAGTGTGCGAAATTTCATGCTCTTCCGCTTCACAAAAACTATTTGCATTCAGCACGCGCTTTTTATGTAATAACTAGCGGTACCCGCGACTTCGTCCGCGAGGAATTTAACTTTATTTTCTAAAATAAAAGTAGCCTAAGTAAGGAGTAACTTAGGCTACTACTTTAGTTTAGTTTAGTTACTCCTTATTACATCAGCTTTCTGCCAAAAAAGTCCCGTCAAAATTCAGAGATTAGCGGGAACAAACAGACAGACAGACAAAAATTGTAAAAAATATGATTTTGGTATATGTGCCGTATTTATATTCATATGCATGTAGTAAAGACGGTTATTTCAATATTACAAACAGACACTCCAATTTTATTTATATGTATAGATAAGTGTGCGAAATTTCATGCTCTTCCGTTCGCGCAGTATTCGTAATAAGTGATTGAAAGTATTTGCTTCACAAAAAATATTAACATTAAGCACGCCCTTTTTATATAATAACTAGCTGTACCCGCGACTTCGTCCGCGTTGAATCTAACTTTATTTTTCTAAAATAAATGTAGCCTAAGTTACTCCGTATTACATCATCTACCTGCCAAAAAAAGTCCCGTCAAAATCGGTCCAGCCATTTCAGAGATTAGCGGGAACAAACAGACAGACAGACAAAAATTGTAAAAAATGTTATTTTGGTGTATGTACAGTATTTATATCCATATACATGTAGTAAAGACGGTTATTTCAATATTACAAACAGACACTCCAATTTTATTTATATGTATAGATAAGTGTGCGAAATTTCATCTCTTCGTTTTCGTAATCAATGGTTTCTAACATTGATTAAGTTTTTGCTTCACAAAAAATATTCTGCACTCCCTTTTTATATAATAATAATAAAACCAACAAAAGCTGAGGAAGTGCAACGATAGTGGTGATAGTGGTAATAATAATAATAATAGAAAAAATCATCACGCAAAATAAAGTAACGAGAGACTTGGCATGTCCCGTCCTCAGTACTAATCACCAGCTTAAGCTGTGAAAAAGAGAAAATTATTATTAT